GGTTAAGTTTATAGAACTTTTAATGACAGAGTTTGGTGACATGAAAGAGGAGAATACTTCTATATAGGGAGGAAAATGAAGGATTCATAAACTATTTAGGGGCTAAAAATGAAAGGGCTTAATATCAGGAGGAAGGCTAGGATATCTACTCTCACCATTTTTATTTAATACTGTGCTATATGTTCCTAACCAGTCACAAGAAAGACAAAAAGGGCATACAAATTAGAAAGGAAGAAGTGAAACTATTGTAATTCACAGATGACATGATCATCTATGTAGAAAACCCTATGGAAACAACAAAAAAACTACCAGAATTACTAAGTGAATTTTATGATGTTGTAGAGCACAAAATAAACATATAAAGATCAATTACATTTCTATATCACTGAACAGTCAGAGATTAAAAAATTTTTAGATACCATTTTAATAGCATCAAAAAATGCAAACTACTTTATAATAAATTTGGTGAAAGATGTACAAGATCTTTACATTGAAAACTACAAAACACTGCAGAGAGAAAATAAAGATGACACGAATAAATGGAAGGATAAATAATGTTTATAAATCAAAAGACAAAATACTTTTAAGAAATCAGTTTTTCCCAAATTGATCTATAGATTCAATGTAATCCTAATAAAAAAGACCCCAGTGAACTCTTCAGTGAAAACTAACAAGTACAGTTTATATGTAACAGATCTAAGATAACCAAATTTGAAAAAGGAGAGCACAATTGAAGGATTAGTAGTACTAGACTTTGACTTATTATAAAGCTATAATAATCAAGATCATGTGATTTTGACATCAAGCTAGACAAATAAATCATTTGATGAGATAAGGAGCTCAGAAAAAATGCATGCATATTTAGACAATTGATTTTTGACCAAGGTGCAAAGGCAATTTAATGGAAGAAGAATAGTCTTCATCAAAAGAGCTGGTACAGTTGGAAATCCATATGTAACAGAGTAGCCTTCAACATATACAAAATTAACTCCAAGTGGATATTGACCTAATTATAAGCCTAAAACTATAAAATTTCTTGGAGAAAAACCTTTGTGTACTTAGTTCAGGAAGTACTTAGATTTCAGAGCTATGATCCATTTTTAAAAACGATAAATTGGATCTGATCAAAATTACAAATTCTGCTTTTTGAAAGACACAATGAAGAAAAGAGACAAGCCACAGACCAAAGAAAACATTTTTATTTTACATATCTGATAAAGGACTTATAACCACAATATACAAAAAGCTCTCAAAGCTCAATAATAACAAAATATACAATCCAGTAAAAAAAAAGGGGGGGGGCTTGATCAGGCACTTTATTAAAATGGATGACAAATAATCTCTTGGAAATGTTCTCACCATCTTTAGTCACTGGAGAAGTGCAAATTAAAAATATGGGATGCCAGTACATACATATTAGTGCAATGCTGTCTCATGCTTATACAATACTAACCTCACTGAGCATGTGCCGACTTAGGTAATTGTTGGCAGTGAGCCACTAGTATCTATGCTGTTATAAAAAGATGTCTGCTGTGGACTTGCTTGCTGCATATGGATATAGTGGATATGAACCCAGCACTCCACCAGCCCCTGAGAGATGAAGTTTGGTATTAACCCTTTAATGTTGTTTTTCAGTTTCACTGAATCCAGTGCGAACCTGCCAGGAGCTGAGATCCTGCACTACAGTGACTATATGTGGGGTAAATAAAAGTTTTCATCCAGAATGTCCAGAATCTCCCATCTGGCCTTAGTCCATTTTCATACCCCTGGACGTTTCAGAGCCTTCTGCCCACCCAGGGCAAGGGGAGAAAAGAAAACAGCCATTCTCTCCTCCCCTCCATTTCTGGTAGGTAACTGGTCTACTGTTTGCCAGTTACCAGGGTCCCGCCCACAGAGTTCCTCCTGAAAGGAGCGGGCAGGGGAAGAGAGCAGGAGCTGTTGCTGGAGGAGATGGACGGAGCTGGGGCTGGCTAGCTATCCCAAGCAAGCTGTAAGAAATAAAAGCCTTTCTCCCAACCTGCCCTTTCACTTGACTTAATTCAGTTTCATCGATTTATAGGCGACTCCCCCGTGCCCAGGAACACCCTTTTCCCCAGAGCTACACTGCACTTCTTGCTGGCAAGGATTTGGCACAACTGAAACTCTGGTAGGAATGTACAGCCATTTCAGAAAAGTAGTTTGGTAGTTTCTTAAAAGGCTAAACATCTACTATATGTTTCAGCCTTTCCATTCCTTTGTATTTAACCCAAGAGAAGAAAAAAATGCATCTATACAAAGACTTATGTGACTACTTATAGCAATTTTTTCCACAATCTCCCCCAAATAGCAATCAAGTAAAATGCCAATCAACTGGTGGATGGAGAAACAAATTCTGATACATCTATATAATGCAATGGCATACTACTCAGCAATAAAAAGAAATGAAGAAATGATAAACACAAGGATGAATCACAACATAATAAGGCTGAGTGAAGAAGCAGAATTAAAGAAGATAGAGAGGGTATATACTTTAGGATGCCATTTATAGAAAATTCAAACTAAACTATACTGAGAGAAGCAGAGCAGTAGTTGATGGGATGGTGAGGGAGAAGGGAGGAGATTACAAAGGACTATGGCAAATTGTACACTTTAAATATATAGTTTATTGTATGTCAATTTTGAAAGCATATGTTCCAAATATATATATACTTTAATATTTGGTAATAGACTGGATATGCTTGGTGAGGAGAAAGTATCAAGAATGATTACCAGGATTCTGGTTTTTTCACCCAACTGAATGGAGCTATGTCTGAAATAAGAAGGAACAGAATAGACCCATTGGAAGATCTTGGATGGGAATGAAGATTATGAGTTTTGTTTGGGATATCATGATTGGCAGTGAGAGATATGTAGGAAGCCTAAAAATTATAACATAGCCTGTATGTTCATAAAAATTTAGAAAGCACTATAGAATAGTATTTAAACAATTGCTGGATAGTCTTACTGAATAAGTAGCAGTGATAAGAAGGTGGATGGATAACTGAGGTACAGGTCATCAGGGGAGCTTTCTAGAAGGAAATGAAGCTTTGAGGAAGTTTAGAATCTGGCTAGGAGAAAAGATTTAAGCAAATAGCAAAAGAGGGGGAAAAAGTATAAGTAAAAGTCCCCAAAAAGGCCAGAATAGATATGGGATATGTTAATGTGTGTGTATATGTGCATGCACATATGTGTTTTACGGAGTGTATGTATATAAACCCATATGTGTTGGAGTTGACAAGGGGAGAAAAAGGCAGTAAAATAAAGGAATAAACTTTATGATGGGGAAATGTGAAATAATATTTGGGATATATTGGATGGGTACAGATTATCAATGATCTTGAAATGCATAGATGTGATCTGACACACAGTAAGAAGCCATAATCAATTTTGGCCAAGGAATTGCATAATCAAAGTAGCACTTTATAAAAATTAAAACTGCATTTGTGTACGGGATGGTCTGGATGGGAGACAAGCAGTTTTATAGCTCTGTAAAAGTGTCTTTGAAAATCAAAATGTTTTGAAGTCTTTGTAGAGCTAAACTGAAGAATATCCTTTTCTTTCTCTCCTCTCAAGGAATGCTGACATGGCAAGCAAAATAGTTTCACCACATCTTTGTGCTTTCTTTTTAAAAAGAATATTTAAGAACCCCTATGCTTATTTCATTTGAGGAGTTCAGTGTACAGGACTTCAACTTCTATCTAGAAATTTTACTGTGGGAAGTTCTCCTTGCAACATGCATGCTAATTATTTTTACGTGGTATCTTAAAAATTCATTTACAGTTTAGTGATTTATATATTAATGTGATGAAACTGATGAGGGATCTCTCCCGAAGAATTCAAATGACTGAAAGTTGAAAGCCAACACCTTTAAGGTTAGAAGCATAGGGTTATTTACTGAAGACTGGGGAATAATCTAGATCTTTTTCTCCTAATGGACATAGATTTATCTTATCATATAATTTTTATCTCTACTAAAGATAATGCAAGAACAAACACATATATTTTGAACTATGGTTTCAAAGGGAACCCAAAAAGATTTTTCTTATAGTAAGTGATACCCTGGAGCAGACAGTTAAGGAATGTTATAAATTTTCCTAAAAGAGGTTCTGCCAAAGTTGTGACAGTCCAGTTTAGGTTCAGGTGGAGACTCAAACACGTTATGTGCAGAGGTGACAGAGGTCTAGGGGAATTAGGGTTAAAGGAATGTTTAAAATTGGTGTCTATTTTAGTATTTAAAGTAAAATACCTTTGACCTTTACATTTAAAAGAGACTCAATTCACTAGGATGTGACTGGTAGTCTGATGCAGTGGACGTCAGAAACACACATTCTGCAGGATGAAGCCAGAGGTAATGAAGTCAGTTCAGGAGTAAGGACTCACACCATTTCAAAGTTTCAATTATGGAATATTGTGTCACTCAGATTTGTTTTGTAGCTTAGTTCCCACTGAATATATTTTTTTTACAGATTTATGTTAAAAAATACTGTAAGTGCTTTGACCTCAACTTTGAACACTGGGTTCCATGCACACTGTCCCAGAATGCCCATCAGAATGTAACCTCAGAGGTCCTCCCCTACTCTAGAGTTTCCAAGGGTTGCCATATGAGAGGACCACAAAAAAGTGGCTTAAGCAACAGAAATGTATTTTTTCACAGTTCTGAAGGCTAGAATTCTGAACTCAGCATGTCGAAAAGTTGACTCTGTCTGAGAGATGTAACAGAGAATCTGTTCTGTGCTTCTCTCTTAGCTTCTGGTAGCCTTGGGAATCATGTGGCTGTTAGATGGCACTCTCCCTGTGTCTTCACATCACCTTCCCTTTGTGTTCACAGTTCCCTTCTTTCTCTATGGACACAATAATATTGGATTAGGGTCCACCTCAATGATGTTAATTGAACTTGATCATCTGCAAAGACCTTATTTCCAAACAAGGTGATTTTCACAGGTCCTGAGGGTTAGGACTTCAAGGAGCTATGTCTGAAATAAGAAGGAACAGAATAGACCCATTGGAAGATCTTGGATGGGAATGAAGATTATGAGTTTTGTTTGGGATATCATGATTGGCAGTGAGAGATATGTAGGAAGCCTAAAAATTATAACATAGCCTGTATGTTCATAAAAATTTAGAAAGCACTATAGAATAGTATTTAAACAATTGCTGGATAGTCTTACTGAATAAGTAGCAGTGATAAGAAGGTGGATGGATAACTGAGGTACAGGTCATCAGGGGAGCTTTCTAGAAGGAAATGAAGCTTTGAGGAAGTTTAGAATCTGGCTAGGAGAAAAGATTTAAGCAAATAGCAAAAGAGGGGGAAAAAGTATAAGTAAAAGTCCCCAAAAAGGCCAGAATAGATATGGGATATGTTAATGTGTGTGTATATGTGCATGCACATATGTGTTTTACGGAGTGTATGTATATAAACCCATATGTGTTGGAGTTGACAAGGGGAGAAAAAGGCAGTAAAATAAAGGAATAAACTTTATGATGGGGAAATGTGAAATAATATTTGGGATATATTGGATGGGTACAGATTATCAATGATCTTGAAATGCATAGATGTGATCTGACACACAGTAAGAAGCCATAATCAATTTTGGCCAAGGAATTGCATAATCAAAGTAGCACTTTATAAAAATTAAAACTGCATTTGTGTACGGGATGGTCTGGATGGGAGACAAGCAGTTTTATAGCTCTGTAAAAGTGTCTTTGAAAATCAAAATGTTTTGAAGTCTTTGTAGAGCTAAACTGAAGAATATCCTTTTCTTTCTCTCCTCTCAAGGAATGCTGACATGGCAAGCAAAATAGTTTCACCACATCTTTGTGCTTTCTTTTTAAAAAGAATATTTAAGAACCCCTATGCTTATTTCATTTGAGGAGTTCAGTGTACAGGACTTCAACTTCTATCTAGAAATTTTACTGTGGGAAGTTCTCCTTGCAACATGCATGCTAATTATTTTTACGTGGTATCTTAAAAATTCATTTACAGTTTAGTGATTTATATATTAATGTGATGAAACTGATGAGGGATCTCTCCCGAAGAATTCAAATGACTGAAAGTTGAAAGCCAACACCTTTAAGGTTAGAAGCATAGGGTTATTTACTGAAGACTGGGGAATAATCTAGATCTTTTTCTCCTAATGGACATAGATTTATCTTATCATATAATTTTTATCTCTACTAAAGATAATGCAAGAACAAACACATATATTTTGAACTATGGTTTCAAAGGGAACCCAAAAAGATTTTTCTTATAGTAAGTGATACCCTGGAGCAGACAGTTAAGGAATGTTATAAATTTTCCTAAAAGAGGTTCTGCCAAAGTTGTGACAGTCCAGTTTAGGTTCAGGTGGAGACTCAAACACGTTATGTGCAGAGGTGACAGAGGTCTAGGGGAATTAGGGTTAAAGGAATGTTTAAAATTGGTGTCTATTTTAGTATTTAAAGTAAAATACCTTTGACCTTTACATTTAAAAGAGACTCAATTCACTAGGATGTGACTGGTAGTCTGATGCAGTGGACGTCAGAAACACACATTCTGCAGGATGAAGCCAGAGGTAATGAAGTCAGTTCAGGAGTAAGGACTCACACCATTTCAAAGTTTCAATTATGGAATATTGTGTCACTCAGATTTGTTTTGTAGCTTAGTTCCCACTGAATATATTTTTTTTACAGATTTATGTTAAAAAATACTGTAAGTGCTTTGACCTCAACTTTGAACACTGGGTTCCATGCACACTGTCCCAGAATGCCCATCAGAATGTAACCTCAGAGGTCCTCCCCTACTCTAGAGTTTCCAAGGGTTGCCATATGAGAGGACCACAAAAAAGTGGCTTAAGCAACAGAAATGTATTTTTTCACAGTTCTGAAGGCTAGAATTCTGAACTCAGCATGTCGAAAAGTTGACTCTGTCTGAGAGATGTAACAGAGAATCTGTTCTGTGCTTCTCTCTTAGCTTCTGGTAGCCTTGGGAATCATGTGGCTGTTAGATGGCACTCTCCCTGTGTCTTCACATCACCTTCCCTTTGTGTTCACAGTTCCCTTCTTTCTCTATGGACACAATAATATTGGATTAGGGTCCACCTCAATGATGTTAATTGAACTTGATCATCTGCAAAGACCTTATTTCCAAACAAGGTGATTTTCACAGGTCCTGAGGGTTAGGACTTCAACATCTTCTGGAGGGACATAATTCAACCCATAACACCCACCATCATGAACCTCACTAAGAGCTGTAATGCAAGTGCATCATAATGACAGTTCCATGGGCTCTGAGGTGGAGCAAATCCAAGTGTCGGGGAATGTAAGGTGGGGTGGGAAAAGAGGAATTGCTGGAAAGGAATCCAAATTCTTAAAAACACTGAGTGGAGCAAAACGAGCTGGTAGATATCTATGGACTAGCAAAGCCCACAAGTTCGAAAGGTCTGCACCAAATTGTGCCTAAATCTACCAGACCTAAAATACCCTGGTAGCTAATTCAATACTTCTCTTGTAATGGTTCTGTTTTCCTCACTGGACCTAGCTGTGGCTTTTTCTTTTTATCCTTTACTTAAAATATGATATGAGGAAATTGGTCTTAATTTAGCATATGATTTTGTTTACCTTGAAAAAAGAAGGCAGTTGCTTTAAAAGAAAATCTTAAGGCTTTTGTTTTCTTTTTCATCCCCCAAAGACAAAGAAAATCACTACATGCATCAAAAATATGCTACCAAGAAGGTATTGTAATTAAACCTAATTTATGACAAACAACTAACAGCAAGGAAAACATCTGACTTTAGAAAGTTTGGGGAAACCTCATATATTTTATGAAGGAAAGATCTCCAGCCCTTTTTCTTCTTCTCACAAGAGAAGGCATGCTAATACATACAGAGGCCAATAGCAGAATCCAGGTCTTCTACAACTCTATGTCACCTTCCTGCTTAGTGGCACTAGCCACACGTCCTAATTTTTACCAGTTAGGAATGCTTACAGCAGCAAAATCAACAATGCAGGCTAATGATAACTTAAATAGATAGGGTTTAGAAGTGGTGGTTGTTTTAGATTTCTTTTCTTTTTTTGCTCTGTTTTGTTTTTCCATAACCCAAACTCTGGAAATAAGAGTCCAGGAACATGAGTAGTAATTCAGTCATGTCATTAGGAATTGGACCCTTTTTACCCTTCTACACCATTCTCAGCAAGTCAACTTCTTGTCCTTATTTTTATAACTTCATGGTATCCAGATGGCTCTCATAGCACCAGGCATCCTGTCTGTGTGTTTAGGTTGAAAGGACTCACAGGGGCCAGTGAAGCATCTTTTCCTCTCTGCTGTTTTCATTAGGAAGCAAAACTTTCTGATAAGCCTCCAGCTTATCACTTTTGGGTCAGATGTCAGTCACATGGTCACCCACAGTTATAAATGAGGATAGGAAATTGAGTAAATTGTAAAAGGACATAAGAGCATCATGATACTAGGGCTAAAAACATCATGATACTGAACAAATCAAGGTTCTGTAAGCAAGAAAGAATGGGAAAGGTCTTTTGGGTCAAGAGTCTGCCAGAACAATCTTGAGGGTTATGAGAGAAAGCTTTTGAGAATCCTTAAATGATAACCCATCATGGGAGTTGAAAGAACAACAAAGTGATGGCTAAAGAAATTAGCTACAAGAACAAATTTAAAAAAAAATAAGCATTTTTTACCACCTTGAGAAACTCAAGAAATACCATTGGGTGAAATCAGACTCTCATGATAAAAAGAAACACTGACTAAATTAATAATTCATAAAACAATAGCATTGATATGGATGCAAGTATTTGATGATCATTAATAGACATTCACCATAACACATTTAAATGACGAATGGAATCATTTCAGCAAGTGACCCAAAAGTCAGTGGGTCTGGGTAGGGCCTGAGACTGAATTTCTAATAATTTCATTGGTGATACTAATGCCTCTGGTCCAGGTGCCATACTTTGAATAGTAAGGATCTAGGAAACAATTCATATCTCTTCAATTATTTCAGCATGGTCAGTATGAAATTTACTTGACTACTCCCATTCTTGACTGCTTGGCAGATAAAGAATTTATGCCAAGATGTTAATTAATTTGTTTTTTTTTTTAGGGATGAAGGTGAGACTTGTTTTTATTGTAAAAGAAAGAAAACTCCTCAAGGATCTTAACAAAGGAAAAGGAACAGTACACTCAGAGAACAGACACCAGGATACAAACAAAATTACAAGTGTTTTAACTCCAGTCCTGTTCCCATCTCAAGAGCAGAGATGGGAGGGAGAGCTCAAGCAAACAAGCAATTCTGTAAAACAAGGACTTAGGAACCCTACAAATATGATTAAAATCTAAACTTAGTTTACTTTTAAAAAAAATTTTTTTAATATATCAAAAGGCCTGCTTTAGTGACATGTTTACCTTGGGATTTACCATTTACTCTGTTCCATTTATGCCAAATACCTTGGTGTATTCCCATATTTAAGGATATCCTATGAACAGTTGCCTTAAACCAATGTGAAGTTATTCCAGTAGTGGAATTTAGACCCTATAGGAGCTTAAGGGAAGAAAACTTTCTGAGCAAGATGATTTTAATGAATGATTATAGTACTGATTCTCAACATTCTACAACTCACACTATTCATTTTTAAGTACCAAAGCACCAATATTTTTGTTGGTGTTATATCATTATTTTAGTATTTTTAAAATCTGAAGTCTGATTTATTTGTGTTTTGAGAAGTACCTAGAGAGTTAAACCAGCATTAAAAGGCTAATTTTATCATCTCTCAGGGTATCTGGGCTAGAAAGTGAAAAAGGCAGGAACATTAACCCAGATTTTCCCAGATCAAATTCACTCTAGTTCTACTACTTGAAAGAAGTTTTTTTTCTTTTTTCTTTTTCACAATCCCTGAATCTGTAAAGGAGAGTCTCCCTAGAAGAGAATTATAAGGAAAAAAGAGCCAGTCTTATCCTCAAGATATCAGCACTTTGAATAGAGTCAGGTTAATAGCAAAACCAATCAGCATTTAGAGGTGGAAATTCCTTATCTATCTGATTGATTTGTTTTGTTTGAGCATAGGTTGTTTCATATCAGAAGCTAACAACCAGCATCTTCCAAGTCAACTGCCACACTTTAGTAAGAAAAACTACAGCTCACTGTCAATAAAAATATTGGTCTTCAATTAAAATAAAAATTTCTAAGAGATTGTCTTTGAAAATTATGCAAAGATGAGATTATTTGTAGATAAAAGATTCAGAGAAAGATGTTTGGATTTAACCTTCCCTAGAATAAAATATGAAAAAGATTTTCCAATGACTGGAAAAATTTGCCCCAACTCTAGGCTCACCACCAAAGATAACCCTGATGACACACACTGTTCTTAAGACCATACTTGCAAAAAAATAAAATATTTAATTCATTTTCAATTTTGAAAATTGATTTTCTTCACTTTATGTAATATGTAGTTTATTCTACATACTTGTTTTTATTCTTTTTCTGAAAATTCTAATTAGAATGATAATATATGTTTTATATTTATGGTCATGAAATTTAACTTTTATTCCATGTTATATAATATATCTATACATTTTATATGCAAAATATACAAAATCTTTAGTTTCAATGACTTAAATTTTTTTTCTGAATTCTAAATGCTGTTCTTAAATCAACTATGTGTACTGTTAAAACTAGTCAACAGGCCCAAAATGGAGTCATTTATGCTAAACCCCATGTCATCAAACTGCAGCTTAATCAGTTTGGGCCTCTCCCAGATATGGAATCTTAAACCAGTCAATCAGGAATCATCTGGTCAGCAGTGGTGAGGTAATCTTCCATCCCATAAACAAAGGTGACTTTGCCACAACTAATCACTTTTTGCTAACATAACTTCCTTGTACCCCCCCCCACCCTTTTGCCTATAAAGTCTTCCATTCTGTATGGCATCTCAGAGCTCCTTTCTATCTGCTAGATGGAATGCTATCCAGGTTATAAATCATTGAACAAAGCCAATAAGATACTTAAAACTTACTTAGTTGAATCTTGGTTTTTTAAAACAGTTTTAATACCAAGACATCAATACATTATGAAATAAATACAAAAGTACCAGTATGTCATCCTGCCCCAATAGTGTCATCATGATTTTCTGTGGCTCTTCTTAATAATGCCACATGCATGACCTCCAGCTGTAGGTGGCTGAATGTACAAATGAATGTTTAGTGTACTTTTTCTGATACTCCCCTTCCCATTGCCTCTCTTCTGACACACTCCTTAGCTCTTCTTCCTGGGGTGTCTTCTGACCCTGTAACCTTGAAAGGGGATCAACTTTGTACCTAGGCCTGTCTACATGCTTCACATAATCATTTCATTTAATCTTCACAATTATTCAGTGGGTCCTTTTTTTACAGTTTTAAAAAGGTGCCCACTTTACAGTCAAGCAAACTCACGCTGGAGGGATTTGAGTTCACGTGAAATACCACATTGCTGGGAGTTGTCTGGCTCCTGTTTTACCAAGTGCCATGTCCTCTTCCTTCCACTCCACTACATCAGGACCCTTGGTCTCCTCTTTGTGTACTAAGAGTGCACAAATTGTTTTGTTTACACACCTACACAAGATATTTTGTTTTGAAGAACTTAAAGTATTTTCTCAATAATTAAATAGTATTTTATCTTCAACTAAATTGTAGGTAAGATTTTATGACCTTTATGATCTCCTCAATCCCTGGGGGCAGCAGGGTCTACAAAATGACAAAGAAGGCAAATGCCTAGAACAGCAAAAGGAATGTGGTCAAATAGCCCAGAAACAATCCTGAGAAGACCTTCACAAGGAAAATGGAAACTTGAATAAGTTACGGACATATTATGATTTCTCCTAAACCAAAGATACAAATTGAACACCTTGTTTGCTCTTCAGTATTGAAACATATGTAGACGTTTTCTGTATATTTATTCTCTTTAAGTTACTAGGAAAAACACAATCTCCCATTTGTGGAGCACCCATTGTTTGCTAAGCACTTTACATTTGTCAGTGGTTTATTGAATACTGTGAACTCATCAGAATTCAAACTCAATAGGGTTTTATTTTTCTCCAATTGCTGCTTTAAAACATGCTCCATTGAATCTCCCTTTCCCAAGACTTTATGGCCTTTCCAGCATATGCCAGTTTTCTGACCATTTCAGGTTGTAAAAGATATACTCCAGCACCATCCACTTTAGTTTTTCAGCCAGTTTGAATGTCCATGTCCTCCCTTAGACCCAGGGACCAGCCTGAGACATGGATGGAGGTACAGAGGGGGGCGTCTCTGCATGCTTCCTCCACCGCCCTGCCCTGCATCTCCTGGGTCTCTTGGGTTGTTGAGGAAAGGGAGACAGAATTTGCATAAAGAGCGGAAATGTTCTTACTCACCATTTGCTGTTAGAATCTCTGCCCTCCCCCGTGGCTGCCATCCACAGGAAGCACCACTCGGGAGACACTTGATTCCTTGGGAATCATCCCTTTAGGGGCCTCTCCACTGCAGGGCCACCTGTCATAGGAAATCAACTCCAGTGGACTTTTTCCAGTCTCCCTCAGCTCCTATCCCTACAAGTTTCACCCTACAGACTTTTACTGCTGGTGAAAGTGAACTCACTTTCTCCCAGTGAGTTACAATGTAAGGCAGGGTTCCATCACAAGAATGTAAGCCTTCTGTGGTGTCCCCTTGATCTGTAAGAAGATTCCGGCATCTTTTTCCCACTGGATAATGGCAGTGTGCCCTATTTTTCTACTGCTCATTCTCTCTACCCTGAGCTTTCTCCTTAAATCTTCCTATTATTCAAATAGGCACAAAGGGCAGTTCAGCAAATCCATTGCATAAGCAGGTATCCAAGTGAATAACGAGATTCCAGGCTCAACCTCTTGCCGGAAACCCTTCTCCATCCCTGCAGATCTTTCTCCTGGAGCACCCTCATGGCTTATTTTAGAAGCACCTTCCACCAGCACCACCGAGAGTGGCAAAAACACAGGACTCTCTCTGAGGCTGAACATTTACAATTCAGTAGTTCCCTCCAGATTAGATTAGTGAATTAGTGGTAACTGGGGCAGCACAATGAATTTGCCTCTTAATGAATCCCAATCATCTATTGTCCTCTAATTATATATGTGTCCTCAACTCAGGAGGAGTCAAGTTGCCAGGTCTGAGACAGTCAGTCCCCTCGGCATCTTACCACACATACAGTGTATATGAACTCCACACAGCTGTGCACAATAGGTATTGTTATGCCTTAGGAAAGAGAAACTCAAATAATTAATGTTGCACTAGGAGGGTAGGGGAATTTCCATCACCTCATATCATGTGTAGCATGTAATAGGGCTCAATAAATATTTACTGAATAAATAAATAGTGTGAAAAAATAACCCAAGGTCATGCTTAGGAAATGGTAAAACGGCTCTCCAACTCAGTTCTTTCTGACTGTGAATATCTCCCTAAATAAAGTGTCATCCTCACACTAAAACACTGATTATAACCACAGCCCAGTGTCATATAGCTTCTTCAGTCTGACTCAGACATATCTTTTAGTGAAATATCTCATTTCTCTCCCCATATTGGACTCTAGCCCCATGAGAGTTCCATCCACATACCTGTGAAACCAGTCAGCAGGTCCCAAGCCCAGAATGAGCTTATCCTGCCTGGGTCTGGCTCTCCAGATTTCACAGTAGCATATGGTTGGTGAAATCTCTGCATGGCAGAGCCCTTAACATTCAGTCAGATCATTCTCCCCTGAACTTTTCTATTTTCAGTTGCTTAATAAGCAATAAGGATCTATGTGACATTTATCCTCTCTTAATTGCTGCCAGGTTCTCAGTTCCAGTGCTATAAAAGCTGCTCAGTTACTTGTAGGGACTTTGAAAAAGTATTGGATGGTTGGATAGGTGAATGAAGTGGGTGAATGCCTGCATTTCAGGTAGTTGACACCACGTGATTCATCTTGGTTCATGTCAATTTCATAAACCAAAAAAGCAGCTGAATCTTAGAAACAATTTCAAACAAGAAGCTATACCTTATACGAATACAGGGAATATGCGAAAAACTCACTTAAAATATGTATTTAAAAATCAACACTTGATTCTTACAGGTATTAATATAAGGGAAGAAACATTTCTTAAATATTTGGTTTTAGAGTTGGGCCAAGATGGAATCTCTGAGGATTTAGGCAGGCTTTGGGAAAGAGGGGAAAGACACAGCGAGAAGAAGACAGAAGTTACCTCTCCACTTTGCCTGCCCTGGCTGAATTCAAGTAACCTCTGTGCTCTTTGCCAAATCTAGAGCAGAGGCCTAACTTGGGAGGGCAGCCACTCAAAGTCTGCAGTACCCGTTTATAGGAAAGGTCATTGGCCATTCTCCTCAAGTGCTGACTCCAAGGTCCATGGCCTGAGGCTGTGAGATGCAAAACAAATGAAAGTAGAAGGCACATATTTGCTTTTGGCTCTGGATGGTGTGATTACAGTTGTCCAGAGATGTATAGTGCTCTCTAGTCATCATCTAAAAACTAACTGAGGGGTTGAGACATGCAGGGACCTGGGCTGAAGGCTTGCTTTGGAAGGCCAGAGGAGCAAGGAGGGGCAGCGGTAACCCAGCACCACACAGCATCCTTTCTGAGGCGTCAGAGTGGCCTTGGTGTCTATTCTTGGCATTGATCTGATTCTCTCATAAGTTTCTGGCTTCCTCCCAAAGAGAACAGTGTGTTCCCTGCTGACTGTAGAAAGGCCTTCAAAACATGTTTGTGTGTACAGCCGGTAGGCAGGGCCTGGCTTAGTTACTCCGTGCTATCTACTGCCTTTCCCTGGTGTCAGGAGGAAGTCTTGCTCAGACCTGCTGTGACAGTCCTCACAAACTGGGCTGGATCCTGGCTCTACACTGGGCACATTAATGGTGTTTCTGTGATGCCCATACAATTGGTGCAGAGATCAATATTTTAGGGAAAATGAGTGTTCCTCCACACCATGGTCCAAAAAATATTCTGTTGCGAGGGGTAAATATAGATCGAGTTTCAGCTAACCTCCTGGTAGGGTCACAAAGGCTTCCTTTAGAAGCTTGCACCTGTTTTCCAGAGTTAGATCTTCTGGCGTGGATGATTACTCACCCTGTGGGAGCTAAGATAACGCAGATTATACCAGCTCTGGATACTGCCAGCTTGAAGGGACTGACACACTCCCTGCTCATCACACTCCCTTTTCAGAGAGGCTAGGATTAGTAAGCCTAGCCTAAGGCACCCCTGAGGGGGCTGCTGGGGTCTCCAGTACACAGAAAAGGGGTTATGAGGATGACCACGAGCTCTTGGGCTCCATGGGCAGGTAAATTACATCCACTTCTTTTAGACTCTATTCGCAAACAGTGGCCAAATACTGTAAAATATGTTAAGGACAAACTACTGGAGATAGTAAGATGTCATCATTAAAGACCTATTCTTATGGACAAGGTGGGTGCATAAGAAATGGGGTCCAGCTTTTTCAGAAATGGAACTATTGGAAGTTCTCCATCTTTGAATATATCCATCACTTCCTCTAATCACTTATAACACACCTTCTCTGGTTTGGTCTTGCATCAGAATTTGGTGAATACACACTCTTACTACACTCTCCTACCTCTCCCAATATCTGTCTCTTAATGGCATAGCTTTACTGGAGTTCTCCATCCTGTTGTCCTGTAGGCCCCTCAAATTCAGCATGTCCAAATTTATCTTGTTATAGGAAACTGTATGGTGCAGTGATTGAAAAGCAAAATAAAAACATGTAGGCATTGTTATGGGACTCACTGGGCTTGAATCCTGCCTATACCTTTATTTAGCTGTGTGATCTTGGGAAATTGCACAATCCCTCTGTGCAGTTTAATTGTTTGTAAAATAAAATAGTAAGACTTTCCCCATAGGTTTGTAGTGAGAATTAAAAGAGTTAAAACATAAAATGATTAGCACCACTATATTAGATTTGACATAAATAATAGTTAAAAGAATGAATTAAATAACATATTTAATGGTGAACCTAATATTAATTGGTCAAGATACTAATAACAAAAAAAGTTTAAGTGTGAAATATGGAATTTGAGAAGCCCAAGTTGAGCAGCAGTTCTGACAGTCAGTAACTAGGTGACCTTGGTCAAGTCACATAACTTTTCTGCTTCTCATTTCCTCACATATAAAATAGGCATTGTATTAATAGCTACCAATTGTTGGCTGCTGGTTATGTGTGAGGCATTATGCTGAGCACTTTATAAGCATTTATAAATAACCAGAAAAAGATTTAATAATCATATCAGAATAATTGCTGATAATAGATGATAAAACATTCTTTCATTTATTCATTCAATTATTATGTACTCAGTGAATACTAAATGCTGGGAGATGAGATTCAAAAGGGAAGAAATTGCAAAATATTTTAATACACAACCCATCAAAATATAAATACAAATAGCCATTGAAAAGTTGACATCATTATTCGTCAGAAAAATACAACTTACTATACAGAAAAATACTGACACCACTAAGTGTTCACACATGTGCAACTACCAGAACTATCAGATATTGCTGGTGGAAGTGAAAAAATGTACATCACTTTAGAAAACTCTTTGGAACTTTCTTATAAAGTTAAATATCTATCTACTGACTGACCTTTGCATTCCACTTCTAGATATTTACCCAAAGAAAATGGAAATGTATCTACAAAAAAACTTAAACAAGAAATCTTCTAGCAAGATTGTCTATTGTTTTAGTCAAAGTTCTCAGGAGACACAGAACCAGTAGGCTGTACACCTATATACACAAGAGAGAAAGATTTATTTTAAGGAATTGGCTCATGTGGTCATAGGGGCTGGCAAGTCTGAAATCTGCATGGCAAGCTGCTGGCAAGTTGGAGAACCAGAGAAGAGTTTATGTTTCAGTTGCAAGTATGAAGGCAGTCTGGAGGCAGAATCTCTCCTTCCTCTGGGGATCTCAGTCTTTTTCTCATATGGCCTTCAGCGGATTGAATGAGGCCCACCATGTTATAGGGGCAATCTGCTTCCATAATACAGAGTACTATGAGTTTGAGGAAACTCAACATCTACCAATTTAAATGTTAATTGCTTCTAAGAAATACTTTTACAGCACCACCTAGATTGGTGTTTGACCAAATATTTAGGTATCAGAATATAGCCAAGTTGACAAATCAAATTAACCATCACATCCATCATTACCCCAAACTGGAAATAACCCAAATGTCTATCAATAGGAGAATGGATAAACATAGTGTGGAACATACATACAATGGAACACTACTAAGCAATAAAGAGGTACAAACTACTGATACAAAAACGTGAGGAAGCTCCAAAATGTTTTGTGAAGAGAAAGAAGCTAGAAACAAAACTCATATCTGTATAACTTCATTTCTATGAAGTTCAGGAATAAGTAAGTTTAACCTCTGGTGATAAAAATAGTACAGTGTTGCCTGTGGAAGGCGAGGACTTACTGAATAAAGAACAATAAAAGTGTTATTTATCTTGATTAGAGTGTTGATTACACAGGTACATACATTTGTAAAAATTCACCCAGTTATATGTTTAAAAGTTGTACTTTTTTGCTGTATGTAAATTTTACCTTAATTTTTAAAAATACTGAAGAGATTATGGTTTGTTCTTTAAGGAGGGTACAGCCTAGGCAGGAAGACATTGACCACATGATACGATGATTGAAGCACTAAACCTAATTAGCTTATTAAGGTTTCATAAGAATAGGTGGGGTGCCGGCACTAGCATTTTATAAAGCACCCCAGATGTTCTAGTGTGCAGCCCAGAGTGAGAAACACTGCCTTATCCACGCTCCATGAAGGCTGCGACTTGGCCATTATTCACCTTTGAATCCCAGCACCTGGTGCAGAGTCCAGCTCAACAAATATTTGTTAAATAAATTCTGTTTCCTTCCACCAAAAAAAAAGACCCTGTGACAATATTCACACCTGCCTTCTACTTCTTCCAGCTTTTTATTTACCTAATGCCTGACTATGAGTCTGTGCAAACCTTGAACGTAGAACCTAAAGATGACAAATGGATTTCATCTGGCCTGTCCACGTCAAGCACTTTGGCTGTGGCAGTCTAAATATTTGTTGAGGATGATTGTGAGGCTGGGTCTGGGTTCAGCAGGAAAGATTATCTTGATTGGTTACCATAGGGCTGAAAAGTGACATGCCACACTTTTGCCATCCCAACAGTACCATGTAACACCTAAGTAAGAAAGGTTTGCTACCTAGAGAGAGACAACATGTATTAAATGAGTGAGTCAGCCCTGTCCCAAGGCAGAAAATAATACTGAAGTACTCTTGAAAACTAACTCAAATACCAACAAGAGAGGCGTATCTTGATTTATTGAGATAAATCCACACATGCACAGACTGCCTGTGTGTGTGTGGCAATACACATTGATGACATATCATTGTATACATACATTCCTACATTCTACTCACATTTGTTTGCTAAAAGTGTGTGTGTCTAAATTTCTCTGGCATGTGTGGGGTCTACAGGTCTCTTAGAGAAATCTAAAATTCCCCTGGAAAAAATCAAGCAGGGTAGGATTATAGTAATAATCACCATTTATTAAAAGTTAGCCATGTGCCTGGCATGGTAGTAAACATGCTCAAGATATTTTTACTCTGCCATCAACACTATAATGAGGCAATTACTGCCCCTAGTTGCAAGAGAAAGGAAAGTAGGCAGAAAGAAGGGAAATGAAATGAATAGAATTTTGAATGAAGTTGTCTATTTCATCAGCTACTCAGAAACGAACTGCAATTTTTTTTTATTCCAGATGATGCAACCACAGAGAAGAAACCTGTGATTCTAAAATCTCTTCCTGATTTCCAAAATCTCTTTCCAGCAAAGGGTAGAGCAGATTTGTTTGAAACTGTAACCAAGAGATTAATGAAAGTGCCCCAGAATGCCTTTGCCTTCCCTGAGCTCTCAGGTTGAATCTTCCCCAGGGCTGCATTTCCTGCTCCAGAGGAGCCAGGAGTTCCACAGCGGATTCAAGGCAAGGAGAAAGCACTCCTGCCCTGCCTTCTCCAGGCCAGGCTGCCAAGAGCAGAGAAGCATTAATGGAGACAGCTTGGAACAGTTTGCTTCAGAGAGTTTGCACCACAGGAAAGTCGTTGGTGTTAAAATGCAGTAAGAAAATGTAGGCCACTTCTCTGGCCTGTGCACACAAACGTTTTAGGAGATGTATCTGTCCTCCACATAGTCTACATAATCCCCCCACCCCCACCCCGAAGCAGATGCAGGTACCGTCAGAGCATTTATTGGGGTTCAACTACATAAAGGCTTTACATAAATTGTTTCATTCGGCTCCCTAAAGAGTCTGTAAGTCAGGTCGTTAATTACTATTTTCCAAATAAATTGACCCTCATATTAAGAAACTGGCCCAAGTTCACACAGATATTAAATGGCACAATAAAAATTAAAATCCAAACTATTGAATTTCAAAATTCATATTTTTTCCCCTGGGCCACACTGCACTCCTAATACATGGGAGCAAATACTTTGCATTTTATTTGTAAGTATCGTTAGTGCAAAACAAGCCAAAGCTTACTTTGGAACAATTTGAGGCTGCCTAAGCTTTCTCTGTGGATATTCTAAGGAGACGCCTTTCATTGTCCTTCTGACTTCAGCAGTGCTAGGCATTCTGGGGCTCCTGAAGGGCAGTAATGATGGCAGTGCTCCTGTAAACAGTTTATCACTTGAACACTGCCAGGGCCAGAATTATAAGCAGCCCTAGAACTCCAAATTTTACCTCTGTTCTTTCATCCTCTGATGTCCTGAAAGAACAATTTCCCCTTTTTCTTTTTATGCAATTACAAAATATTATTTAGCTTTTGATATAAAAAAAAATGTCAGGCTATAATCCCATTTTTGCTCTAGTAAATCATTCCACATGATTAGAGTGTTTTATATGAGAAGAAAAGAGTTAGTTAATGTCATGTTTGGATATTTTTCTTTCACATCTAAATCTTCAGAATTGTTTCTTCTTTTCTTTTTTGGCCTAGAAGAAGAGTTGAAAGCAATGGTAAAGGCAATTACCTGTGTTAAGCATCATGAAAGTGCTCTCAGAATGATAAAACACCATGTAGGTGTTATGCAGTGTATGATAATTATTATTACTATAAAAGTTAAAAGTTTGGAAAAAGAATGATTATGATAGTAACTATAGGATATAAAATATGATGGCAATAATATTCTATTGGTTCCCCACTGTGCTTCCCTGTGACTGAAGACATTTCATAATTTGATCCCACCCAGCCCTGCCAACCTCATCTTCTATTCCGCACAGATAATCATCTTCTACTTCCATCAATCTTATCTAACTGGTGACAGTGAATACTCATTGTGCATTCCAGCTCTCACACTTCACTGAGGCCACTCACTTACCCTACTTACCCAAATGCCACCCTTCTCCAGGTCACAGCTGAGGTCCACAGTGACCTCTGTCTTCTCCCAACACCGAGAGCACTTACCATCGGATGGCCACCCAGGCTCACATTGACCTGTCACAGTCGAGGAAATGAATTGCACATTCGATAGAGACAACTGAAGAGAATTTCATCAAGGACTACTTATAGACATGTAAGTAGCAAGGAATGAGGAAGCACCTGGGACAAAAGCAGCAGGAGGTAGCCTGGACTACCCCTAGGTCTGCAGGGACAAGTGGAGGAAGCAGTTACTATAGCCCAGGGAGACAGTAGCTTAGGAGGACTCCTAACAGGAGCTGCGGCCTTGGGAAGGGAATTCAGCCACCATCAAGAGGAGGCCCGTTAGAGTCCCCAGCCATCTCCTCCTGCCCGTCAGTCTCCTTCTGGTCATCGCATCTCATTGACTGAACCCACGAGGAAGCGAGGGGGCAAGTCAGCTGATGCAGCCCGTGGAAATCATCCTGCCGGGACCCAGAGCAGGGGACAGTATTAGTGTTTAGAAGGGCAGCAGTTTGTGTGTGTTGCTTCCTAATTTAAATTGATCATAATCTTCATCATTTCCCACCTCTTGTCAATCAAATACTGACTTTCAAATCTTTCCTGGTGACTCTGGCAGTGCCTGCCCTCCTGGACTTAGAGAAGCTCTCTGGGGCCTGTCTTCTACTTCTAAGATCTTCTTAAATACTGATGATGTTTGGTTTTGTCAAATCTTCTGGGCTTGACGAGCACTAAAAACTAATCCACCAGTATGTTCAATCGAAGAAGTACAAGGTACCATCGTTATTTTATTTCCTTGGCTGGAATAGCATATATTTGCATAGTTGTTATCCAATATCATTGAAGCATACTTATATCTGAGAAAACCAATTACTAAAGGAGAAATGTAAGCATACCTAATCCACTTAGTGTTGGTTGAAAAAGAAAAGAAAGAAAGCAACTGCTTCTTGGGTGATATTTTTGCCTATTTCATGCATTGCTTCTCACTGGTGACAGGTATAAACAAACACAGGAAGAAGGCAATTTATCACTGAAATATAGGTTTTGAGAATCATTTCTAGTCACCCATTTTATGGCAGGCTGACAGAAAAATAGCTAAGTTAGATAGTATCTATTTTTTTAAAGAAAAACCCCACTGAGTACTTTTTATTCTTACTTCTGAGTAAAAACAAAGAGATACATTGTGCAACTGAGAGTAAATCTTGCCAGCCTTGGTGTCAACACTCCCCTCCTCCTTTCACGTATTTCACAGAAACCCGGATGTATTAGTACTTAGTAAATTCCCAAGAGCGAAAGAATCATGAAATTCTCCACCCCTCCCTGTCCATTCATTCTGATGGGCAATAGCCCTCACTGCTAGAGGAATCTCATTGCTGATCTGCACCCCTGCTGCTCGGAAGTTACCTTCTTCAGACATTTTCCCTCCCTGAAGATGGAAACAGCTTATCAACCCTCTCTGTCCACATGACAAATTTTCAAGTGACTCCACAGCCTTCATGAAATAGCAAAATGAGTCATTTCATCCTTGATAAACCCACCTACAAAATGACAAGTTTCCAAAATTAATTAATTTGCTTGTTTGCTAATCCTCCAAGTCAATGTTATTTCCAACTCCATCCTCACCTCAAAAAAAGCCCAAGAAGGTCAAGGACCTGGTGTGTCTTGTTCCCCCACTGATTCCAGCTGTTAGCAACATGCCCACCACATAGTAGGAGCTCAATTATTATTTCTACCAGTGAACAGAAATCTGCCCATGTACCACCTTCAGCAGCAGCTGCACTCTGATAATGTATGACCCCACTGGTTGAAACCTCTCTAAATAACAATGATGATGACAGTAACAAGGACAATAATAATAATAAAATGTTAACTGAATGTCATGCTCTGTCCTCTGTGCTTTAATGTATTAACAATTTAACCCTCTGATGGGGTTCAGGATACCCTACCCCAAAATATGGTACCTCGGCATACTGAATATTTTAGCTGAATAGTTTGAGAAAAGAACAGAATCAGGAAGGTCACTCTGATTCACCCCCTACCTTCTCTCCTGAAACAGGTCATAAAACCTCCATGTGAGAGGTCCTCTCCCTGTACCTGGACAAAAGGGGCATCCTTATCTCTCAGGACAAAGGGACACCAGAGAAGGATCCAGACAAACAGACCTTGCCAATTTTTCCCCAACTCACTACACTTACCTCATTCTCCTTAAAGACCTATCATATGTCTACAGGGCTGCCATTCTTCATCAAATCTAGCATAAAAATATGCAGGTCTGTTTCTGTAGGTCTCATTTCCTTATGAAATCTCCCATGTCATGTTCAACTTAGAATAAATAAATTTGTATGCTTTTCTCTTGCAATCTGTCCTTGTCAGTTTAATTTGCAGACCCAGCCAGAGGCCCTAGAGAGTCAAGAAAACCTTTTTCCTCCCCTACATCTGGAAACAATCAGATGAAATTTTATGAGGTAGGTACCATTATTATTTCCATTTCACAGATGAGAAAACTGAGATATCAGAGCAAGTGTATTATTTTCCCTAGGTAAGGGGCAAATAAGGTTGGGATTCAGGATAAGAACCCAGATAGACAAGTATCAGAGACAAAACTCAACATCTAACTGTAATGCATCTGTTCATACTCCTGAAGAAAATGACAATGAATTCCTTCCAGATACCAGCTATGATGGTTGTATTTTCAAAGAAAAGGAGTGAATTATTGGATTGTTTCTAAGAAGTTTTGAAAGTGTTCTAGTTTCTTCACAATCAGATAAGTAACAAAAACATAACACTCAGCTGTTTTTTCCAACATTGATAACTCATTGCAAATGGCTTGGTACTCTTATTTGTCCTTACAATCAGCTTTTGACTGCTGTGTTTTTTATTAGAAGCCACTGGGTTCAGGATGGAAGGACAAAGTGACAGTGTAACACTTGGTGATTAGAAAGTAGAACGCGAGTGCGTCTAGGTCCTGAGAAGGGGAGGAAAGTGGACAGGTGGTCTTTCCCTCATATCCAAGGTCCTTCTTCACATGTGTCTTACAGAATGGAGGAGAGGTTTTTTTCCCCCAGATAATTAAATGACAGCCTACAGAAAGTAACAGAGACAGCATGAGGCTATGATGTCCTGTGTTGCTATTGCCCAGGCTTGTGTGAATGGTGAGATGAAGGGAAATGAAACCCAAAAGGAGAGACGTGGTGAAGGGCAGAAGGGACTGAGCCTACCATCTCTTCATTATTATTTGAACACTCTCGTTCTCGTTCCTACTCTTGCCTGTGCTCTGTGTGTCTTTACCCTTTACTTGCTTTCTAAAATATTATTTATTACAGGCACATTTCTTCACTCTCATTTTCTTTAAAATGCCAAAGAAATCAATGAAATGTGGGGAGTTCTTCCGCCGTATTGCTGCGAAGTCAGTAAAAGGTCTTATCAGTAGATAAACAGCTCACAGAGATGAAAGGAAACGGAAGAGTTTTATTTAAGTCCTCTAAATAGAAGTTCCAAGATGAGGAGAAATAACTTTAAATCCATGAACAAACAATTCAGAACAAGTAGCCGTGTAGTAGATGCTACATTAACACAAAATGTTAAGCACAAGTAGACTGAGAAACGTTATTTCCCCACACAAGGAACACTTTCTCCCTTTGTCCTCAGCACAAGTTTTATTACCAAGGTCAGAGTGTCACAGCTTTTTCTGCCACAATATTCTTGAGGGTGGAGGGCAGCAGGTACCTCCCCCCAGGACTGCAGCATGTGTTCTAACACCAGCTTGCTGCGAACAAACTATTTCTGGGAGGGTCATGTTTTATGCGGATCATTCATACAAATTCAGCTTTGTGTTCCATAATATGGATCTTGTTTTAGTACAAAAGTGTTGTCCCCAAATATTTAAATAAAACTGAAGAAAATTAGAAAGATTCTTGTATTCACCTATGGTTTTTCCTGCCCAACACCAGGTGTATGAGAATCCCAGAGTAGAACACAGTCTAGGTGCTAGGCTAGTGAACTATGTGACATCATCTCTACTAAAAACTCAAGTAACTAAAGTTAAAGAAGATGAAGAATCACACAAATAAAAGAAACCTGCTCACAAAAGGCAAAGAGATGTGTCAGTAATTAATTACTCCTGCTCTAACCTCTAAAAAGTGATGCTAAGAGGCAATGAATTTATCTAAAAGTGATTAGCAAGAACAAAAAAGGTAAACAAAGTAGGCTTCATAAACAATGAGGTCCAGAGGTTACTCATCTACATTTCTCTTTCTGCAAACCACTAACAAGTCTGACTAACTTGTTTTTCTAAAGTTCTCAAACTTCTACGAAAAGCGTTTCCATTTTCCAAAAGTCTTTGCCTCCTGTAGCCAGCCTTCAGTAGCAAAGTGCTCCTTATGTTTGGGCTAAAGTGCTCTGAAATGTCAATCTGTTACATAGAAACACCAGAGTGATCAATTTAAGCCTAGCTCTTCACACACTTCCTTGCACACGTTTTCCCAGACTTCCTTGACACATACATGGGAGACATTGAGTGGGCAATATTTTTTCCCAAGGAAAGCACTAGACAGGAAATCATACTAAAATAAAACAGCATCTAGATGTTCAGAGACACTTAAAGTGAATATATTTACACCAACAGCAGGCCATCGCTCCACCTTACATAATCTTTTCACTCTATCTTTGTGTTTTAAAGAAAAACCACCTTCCTGTGTGAAGCATGACTTTGAAAGGCAACCGCTGAGCTGGGTCTGCACCTGTACTGTTGCCCCTGACGTGACACTGCAGGTCCCTGCTTGCGTGTCTGGATCCTCTGCCTCGTGGTGAGATCCTAGAGGGCAGGAGTCCTTGCTTTGGACTCATCACTGCAACTCCAGTCTCTGGCTCATTGAGAGTGGGTCAAAATGTCCATTTTGAAACTAGTAAGTGGTTTTTGTTTTCATTTCTAATTTGGCTCAAAAGATCTTGTTTTGACTATGCTCATGTGCTTTCTTCATGAAAATTAAGTTAAGGAGCTTGGTGGGGGGATAGGAGTTTGCAAAACCAGCAACAGTATTTTCTGCTAAGTGGTAACAGGGCAGACACTGAGATGAAGGGACTGATCACAAAGGCTATGATTTTGCCAACTGAACAGTAATGTAAACTTTTCACTGATAAGGGAGAGAAAGAGATTGGTTGTAAGAAAACCTGGGTCCCATTTCAAATGAGATAAAATATGAAAAGGTTTACAGAAATATGTCAGGCACCTAGTAAGAGCACTATATATATATTAGCTATTATTGTTACGTTGGTACCCTCTGGGTATGTTCTCATCTCTGAGAGTTTCCTTAACTTCACTTTCTTGTTTATTTCCCCTCACCATGATATCCTAGGATTAATGGCATAGTGCTTGTAAAGTATTTTGAAATCCCTGAAGTGTCGTAATCAACTCAAGTACCGTTTTATTTATGCAAACTGTCTACCTGGTGAGTCCACTTAAATATTTAAGATTGGGAACTTCTGCCCCATAAGGCTTAATAAATGATTCCCTCTGGCTCTAAAAGCAAGTACTTTTTCAATGACAACGGGAGGAAAAGCAGAGGTATTACTCTGTGACATCTGCTGTGTAATGTTCTTCGAATGGCACATCTCGATAAATGCATGAGAGTCCTCGGAGAGTTACTGCACACAGTGAAGAGAGAATGGTAAAAATCCCAGTATCTCTGCAAAGGAAGGAAAGATAGGCTAAAGTCAAAAAAGCCCCAGAGTTTACATCACTAGAAATCAACAATGACTCATTGACACCCTACTTTATACAGACTGGCAGCTTTCTAGGATCTCTGATAGTGAGACAAAATTAAACATGAACTTGAGATGGGGGGCTGAGGGAGGTGATATGCAAGAAGAAGAGAGGGAGGAAGGGGTACAGTACTCTACACTACAATTCAGAACTCAGAAATGAGATAAAGGATGCTCATGTGAACTGCCTGGACCAGCATAGCAAAATAGAAGTTTTAAATTAATCTAAATATTATTGTATACACTTCATGGGCCTTATGTGACCCATAAATTTGGGTATTTAATGGAGCTATGGCAGGTTTAGTAACTTTTTAAAAGTAAGATAACTAATAAGTGGCAGAATAAGATTGCATCTAAACCATTCACCTCTGAGCCCAATGAACTTTGCACTCTGTCCCTGAGTCCTTGCCATGTGCTGGAGATGGCTTGTGACCACTGAAACCAAGAACAGGAGGCTCAATGAAAGGGCTCTTTATAAGGACAGCAAAGTCCATATGTAGAGTGAGGACTCAGTTTTGTCACTGACTTTGCATATGACTCATCACAGGGTTTTTAATCCTGTTTTCTGCCTACCAAAGGTACAAGATATCTAAAAGTGAATAAAATGATCTACATGAAACACTAATTTCTGGTTAAAATACTGTATAAGCAATCCCAGATATATTATTGTTGAATTCATCTAAATTTGTGAGAAGGAAGTAAAGCTGTTACCTTTATGTAATTGTTCAACTTGCCCTTAAATGGAGAAATCTCCAAGACACCCCAAAGAGATACTTACCTGATTCGTCTATTTACTCTCATACCTACATTTTACAAGCCTTTGTCTTGTGGCATTTGAGCAGGTCTTAAAAGCATTCTCAACACCGATTTTTTAAATTATGATTTTCTGTATTTCCATTGTACTCAGGAAGTACTTCATAGTGAAAAAAAAAAGCCTACAGGAAGTGAGTCAATCCTTTACCTCCAAGTCATCATCCGGGATAGCTCTTTTCCACTTCACATTCCACTTGATGTGTTCATAGGCGTTGACTACTACTTCGATTGCTTTGGGATAAGAATGGCAAGACTGTATCACCTGCAGAGGAAACATGGAGTTTCATTCGTCCAATACACAGATCAGATTCATTCATTCCACTCACAGGGACAGCAAGAATTTATGAGCTTACTAGGCTCCTTGGAGCCCTGAGATGCTTTTAGGAAGTCTTAATGCCTTTGTGTATTCAAACACACTGCTAGTGCCTGTGGCTCACAGGAGGAATAACAAAGTCAGACTAATTTCCTTCAACATCCAGGGGCAAGTGAAAAAGACGACGGGAGCCTGATCAAATGCATGTGTGCCCTTATAAACCTCTCCCCTTCCCAATGGCTTCTGTGTCCCCCAGAATATTCTGCTTCTTTCTGCCAAGTTGACCCATCTCCAGAAGTCCTTGGGTGTGGCCTATTTTTATTTCAAAGTGACCCAGCTGGCTCTCCAGTATGACCCATGCTGGTGTGCAGGGAGCCTGCACCTCTGTCCTGTGGTCAGCAAAAGCACTCTTGACTCCCAAGTTAGTCACCTTTCTTTCCTTTTGTCACTGGACAAGCAGGTCTAGCCGCAGATTTCCCCCTGTACATCTCATCATGAGTTATGCATCAGTTTCATTTTTCCCTTGAAATTTGGAGAACACTTATCAAGTCCTCTTAAAGCCCCTCTCCCTCGGATGTGAGATGAGGCCCCTACCATTACCACGGAGACATGCGTTTGCTCTTAACTCTCCAAAGGGATTTTCTTCTTAATTTTCCAGTCCTTCTCAATCTCAACCTATTGTTTTTGGACAAAAGGTCACAAAACTGGTTTTCCCCACCTCCTTTACAAGTCCCTAGGTGATCTAGCCTTGTACTTTTCAATGTGCAATAATAAGTACCTAATGTCTCAGGCAAAACTAAGATAGATTATCCTTTTAATACCCAGTTAACTAAGTGGGTGTGGTGTGTGTGTGTGTGTGTGTGTGTGTGTGTGTGTGTGTACCGAGGCTACCTGAATGGAGGGCCCGCACCAGGACAGAACTGAAGTTAAGAGCTGGTATGATGGAAGCAGCTGACAGTACATCAGGAACGCCATTCTGAAGAGCTTGGGGTTGACTTAACAGGCAATTGAAAGTTATTATGTATTCTTAACAAGAAAGGGTTATATTCAATCAATTCATTCCTAAGAAGTCTTTATTGAGCACAGTGTTTAGCAATGTGACAGTAATTCTGAAAAGTTTATGGCCTGTGTTTTGTCTTCAAGGAGTTTACAACCCAGCTGAAGAGAAAAGACATAGATATTTCAAAGAGTTAGAGAGCAATATAACTCGGTAAATAATACGAGACTAACTTAAAGATTATCAAGTGTCCCTTGAGCACCATGTGCGAAAGCACAAAGGAGAAAACAAGGATTTCAAAGGCAGTGAGCAGGGAGGAGGCTGAGCAGGGTCACCAAATAGCTACTTGGCTAGCCTCCCTGCTAGTCATAACAAGGAAGGCTAACTGAGCTCTGGGAAAGAATCAGTAGAGCTTAATGACTAATTGGATATGGGGAGTAAAGCCTGCAGCTTTGAAGCCTGATACCAAGAGCAGATAGGGGTGCTCCTGCTGGAAATGAGACTGAAGGACACACAAACATGGGGATGTCAAATAACGAGCAGGAGAATATTTCATATGCAATGTCCTAATGTCAGCCCAAAATGTACATGATAATGCTCCAATGAGAAGGCCAAGTTGGAGATGGAGATGTGTGCACTATCAAAGAATGAACTGGCCAATGCTGCGAGGCTCAGCACTCTAAATGGGTATAAATGGAAATGGTAGAGGACCATGGCCTGAAGCTTCAGGAATCCTTACGTAGGAGAAAGGAAGAAGGGAAAAAAATATAGCTACCATATTTTTGAGGATTTTTTATCTGCCAGGGGCTCTATTAAGTCTTTGCCTATTTAGCTCACTCAATCTTCAAACAAGCCAATGAGGTTAGTCCTATAATTATCCCCATTTTACAGACTTAAAATCAAAGGATGAGAAAACTTAAAATCAAGTTATTTAGCTAGTAAAAGACAGAGTTAGCATTCAAACTCATGTCTGTGTTACTCCAAAAGTCAAAAGAAAACCAGATCTATCAGTGAAAGACACCAAGTGAGAACAGTGTTCAAAGCTGCATTATTACCAGGGCCATGAAGATCAGAGAGAGGATAACAAATTAAATATCACCAGATTTGAAGAGAGAAGGCCAGATTATCAGGAGTTGGGTGGACAAAAACAGATAGTGATCAGTTTGTGGGAAATTGAGAGCAGATAGAAACACAGTTGTAAATAGAGCTGACCCATCCTCATCTTTAAGACCCTGGTGTCATAGCATATTCAGGGTTTTAGAGACCCAATAAATATACTTTCCCTCCTGGGTTTAAAATCCATTAAAAAATGAAATGAAGAGGACAAACAACAGATATAAAAATATCATTTTTGTTACTAATAAAGCTGATTATATATAATGTATTTAGTTATAGGGTCACATCAATCATCCAAGTACTCTGTCACCAAATTAAATTTGCATGCCAAACTACAGACTTCTCCCTGACATACAGAGCTTGTTCCTGGAAGTTAACAACACAGAAGAACTAAGAATCCTGGAGGCCCAAGGTTAAGCAAACACACTCAATTCTTCTTCCCAACTCATCAGTCTATTAAGTGGAGTAAGATAAGTTTGGGGACAGAGTTTGGTGAAGTTTTATTTTAGCAGAATTTCCCTCACAAATACACGAGACAAAGGAAATGACAGTTCTCCCTAATATGATGCATTAAACCCAGCTCCAATGGCCCAGATCCAATGGGAATCAGGAACAACAAAAAGTGTTGAGATGAAGCAAAGTCATTATAGTCATCACAGTGGGGATTGCAGTGAAAAAGAAGACATTTGAGAATTTATTGGAGCATAGTTTCAAATCAGGAACCATGGCACCATGGTCACAGCTGAAGACCATGTCAGTCACAGCAGACAGGCCAACCAGAAGGTCTCATTTAAAAAGAAGGGGTCTCCACTGAATTGGAGGTTTGAGTCAATGGTGTGCTGGAAAATGTTAAAAAACAGGCTACTTGGGGAAAAAATTGTATGTATATTTATACATATAAAAATTCACTATAAATTTTCCTAATGTAAAGAATTTACACATAATTTATATAATCTACAAATGAAATACCCAATACTCTTTCTTTCCTATTCAGTATAGCCAGTTGGTTCTCCCAGAATGCCTTCACTGATCTTGTATCAATTTTGTATGGATACTGAGTTGGATTCACAGCCAACTTATGAATAGTTGCAATGTTTATGGGGATTTCACTCATTCATCAATGACATGAGTGACTTTTTTGTTGAAATATGTAATAGCTTTTAAATATGGGAAGCATGTTTCCTCAATTTTTGGTGCTACTCATATAAGAGCTACAGATATAAGAGCCCCCTGCACACTTTAAAGTTTAACGTTCTCTCCATTAATTTCTTAAGTCTAGATACCAACAAAACTGTAACTCAAGATCTGATTGATAACATCTGCTGATTTCTGTGGTGTAAATATTCCCATCACAGCCCATTCGAAGCTACCAGTGTGAGGTCACTGAATGTATGGTTGGGAAGAGATGTGCCGCCACACATCATGAGATAATGATTCTTCCACACAGATACCATGGATGCAGATAATGTCAAGAACATAGATATGTGGAGTAAGTAATCGGGAAGTATATGGAAAACAACTAGGAAATAATGTGTTTAGAATATTTATTACCTTTGGTTTTAGTATACTTTATTTGTTATAAGTTTATTTGATTTAATTTTTAATAGAGCTGCATTTAACAGTCAGCTCACAAAATTTCTGATAATTTAACCATCGATTCTCATGAACTACTGTGAATCAATTCCAGTGCATGACTGCTTTCAGTTGTCCCTTATTTAAGAAGCACAGTCAAAAGCCATCATAGACTAAATGTATACATTAAAGCTCCAAACTGGTGAAAGCATTCGACTCCTTCTGTCCAGTGACTGGGTCCAAATGGGCACAATGTAAATCAGAGAATCCATTCACATACATGTTGTGGGCACAGAGAAAAAGTTGAGCTCCTGACCATGGGTTTTTCAGCCATACCTAAACAAATAAAGAATAATCCTATATCACCAACCCCTAAGGGGGTAAGGCAGAGCCAGGGAACCATTGCTATGGGACCTCTGAGGAATCAGCAATTCTATGTCTACAGAAGTATAGCTAGAAGGACTTCTGCCTTGGTACATGGCTATCAGGGAATTTTGGATAGACAACAAATAAATTTAGTGTAAATGTGTCCCATATATTTTATGGGATATATTTGTACTAAAAATAACCCATTATTTATCTGAAATTCATATTTAACTGAGAATCCTCTATTATATTGGCAACACTGTTCTCCGGTCCCTATTCACAAACAGTTCAAACTAAGAAATGGATACATGAACTTAAATTATTCATAGTTTTGGAGCCTAACTTCACATATTTGGTGCTTCCGTTTGCAGCTGCCATATTCCCATATATCACAGGGAGAAAACTTCCTACCTAATGAAGAAGCATTTTGGGTAAAAAAAACTAACTGGTTCTTAACTTGAAGTTTTTCAATGCACAAAGTCCAAAGCTCCCTCTGCTGTCATTAGGTTTAGGTTTTGTTGACACTGACTTCCAAGTTTTCTACCAACAAAACTTGGTTCCCAAAGCAGGAAAGGCTCTTTTGAGGGACCCGAGACCTTCCCAGCTCACTTCGCGAGCCTTGGGCTTCATTCAGAGCTAAGACAGCTGACACACATTTTTTCAGACCTCAGTATTATTTCACCAGGCAACAACAGAAAATGATCCTTAGAGAAAGTGACCTCTAAATCATCACTACTGACTGACTCCCAGGAACCTGGACCATCAATCGAGAAAGAACTGATGTGGACACAGAAGGGAGAAGGTTCTGCTTACTCACTGAGACCCTGGGAAACAGATGATGCTCAAGGAACTTCACCTTCCATGCATCTCTGATGTCTCTATTCTCCCTTCATGGAAG